AGTTAGCACTTTTTTCATTTAAGTTTATATGGACATGGTGCAAGAGGGTTGATATTCATTATAGTAGCTCAGAGATAGATTTATCCCATTTGTTTGAGGCAAATAGGCTATTTATTTTTGAGTCTCAACCTTTCCATAATGGCATGATAGAAATGCTTTCATTAGCCTACTACGTTTTCGGTCAAATTAAAGACTATAGCCTACTTTGCCAAACTTCTTTTCAAAACATGAGCCTACACACATGCTGACAGGTGTTTACAGGCCTGTAGTGCTGCGTTCTGCAATTCATACACTTTTAGAGCGCTTTCATATTTATTCTGCGTACCTTTATAATAAACTATACATCTGGTATCAGATTTTGGTTTCATAAAGTCCATAATATATTCTCTTTGTGCTGATGTCAAATATTCGTTCTACATGAAGACTGTCATTTTATATAATAGACCTCTGGTTTTACTTTGATTAAATCTTAGTATATTACCAGTTTGAAAACATTTAAACATTTTTTCGAAATAGCTTTGATGTGTGCAAAATCTGTCGTTTGATAGAGATATAAACACTCTGTTCATTGTCATTTAAATCAAGTAGGAAACAGTTCATATCTTACAGTTCAATCCTTGATAGCAGCGGCTTACTGTTACATGGGTGGTAAGTGACATCCAGTAGAATGAGCGAGGAGACAGCAGAGGTGCTGCCATGTCTGTGGAGGTTGTGTGTGTGGGGTGATTCCCTTGGAAATTCTCTTTCTATTTTACAGTTAAAAGTCTCGTTTTCTCTCAGAGTTCAGTTTTGTCTTTGTTGTTTCGTTTCTGCTCTCTCCTAAAATCCGCGTCAGTCATCGTCGCCGTCATCTCCGCCGTGCGGGCCCTCAGGTAGCAGTTCGGAGGCCCGTTTCTCTCTACTCCTCTCCTGGATCTTCCTCATCTCCTCCGCGTATTTACAGAAGGTGTTGCCGAATTTGGACCACACTTTGCACGGAACCGTAATGGAGTTCCGGTACGTGGGCTTCACCTCGCTGACCCGCATGAAGACCCCGTACTTATTGGAGCCCACGTCAAAGAAGAAGCGCTTGTTGTCGACCGTGAGCGAGGTGCCCTCCGGGAGCTCCGCCGGCTCCTCGTCCACGCCGTAGTCATCGATGAGTTTGGCCAACGCGTCGCGGAACTCGATGAGACCCTGCGCCGGCAGAGCGATGGTCTGGCCTTGCGCGCTTCCCAATCCGGGCCCCCGATTAACGGTCTGTCGGATCCTTAGGAACCGCCCCCTCTGGTTCTCTTTCAGATCCATGTAATATTTCCGATTCTCCCGCACCAGGAATTCGCTCTTGAGCGCCCGCCGGGGCTCATCCTGCACTATGTCTGGGTTGGTCGGGCCCAGCTGGGCGTAATGTTCGATAAAGTCCCCGAGATAATCGCGGAACTCCACGGCAACCGACATGGAGAGAGTGAGGCGGCTCTTGTTTCCCCCAGCCCCGACCTCGGCTATCTTTAGGAAGCGGCCTTTAACATTCTGCTTCACGTCAAGGTAGAAGCGCTTGTTCTGGATGTCGACGCGCTTAGAGGCGAGCTCCTCGGTGTCGTGCTGCAGCCGGGACATGGCGCCCATCGCACCCGGGGGCAGCGAGCCGGGGCCTGCGGTGGGCCCTCCGTGGTCACTGCCACTGTCTCTGTCCGCCATGATGCTGCCTCCCTGCTTTACCTTCCACCGTCTCCCTCTGCCTGCTGCAACCTCGACTGCCCGTCAAACCACTCCGCCGCTCTATCGCGAGACGAGAGAGGAGAAGAGGGTGAAAAAAATGAAAGTAACTGTAGTTAGTGTTACTGTAGTACTCCGAGCGGGCTGCGTTCAAGACACTCGCGCTGTTTTTACAACGTTTCACACAATTTTTTACTTCAGCCTTCAGTGTAGTCCTGTAATGCAAGTGAAAGTTAACCCCCACCCATGTGAGCCTCAAACACTGCAGTACCAACAACACAGATAGATAGATAGATAGATAGATAGATAGATAGATAGATAGATAGATAACAGGGACAAAAGTCATACCTGATGATTATTGGTTTGGGTGTTTCAGCACCTTGGACAGCGAACCCGGACAGCCCCTGTGGGAAGGAGAGACACACAGAGATCAGAGTGAAACAGAAATTTCTGAATGAACAGTGGATGATAGCTGTGTGGGAGTCTAAGGGAGGGGGCTGATACACTGTGAAGCATCATGAATCATTACCCTGTGATTGGACTTGCTTGCCTGCCATTGTTTCTCAATGGCCTTGAAAGGGTTCATCAGTAAAGAGTGGCGACAAAAAGCCACCAAAATCTAACATCTATGACAATTAACACATCAGAAAGATAGAAAAATACATGAATCCACATACATAAATGTACAGACAATGCAGAAAACCTTAAAAGGATTTCTATTTTAATGTGAAGCTGTCATTTATTTATAGTGTAATTACACCATTTATTAATTCTCTGATATTATAACTTTTCAGTTAAGATTTATTTTCAATTTTACCACTTTCTTATGAGTTTATTCAAGTTTGCCTGAACCTGCTTTTAAAGGTCATATAAGGTCACAACAGCAGTGACAACATAACGTCTCAGATAAAGTTATGAGGTCTTCAGCCTTCATGGGCCCTGAGGGGTGGAGCAGACCTCCTGTAGAAGAATTGATGTGGGTGACATGATGGATGTTTGAAAGGATGACGGCTTAATAGGATTAGAAAGCAGTGGTGTATAATTAATATAAAAAGACGGAATCTGGAAAATGAAAAACATAAACTTAAAATCGTCTGTATAATGTTTGTGTATCAGCCTTTTTTAGGAGATTTCTGAAATGAAAACATGTATTTCAGCATTCTCTCCTCACCAAGTCACTGTAAAATTCACACTGTAGGTCAATTAAAGTCACAGATTGCAGAATTCTTATTAAACTCACACAGATCACATACATTTATAATTAGATGTCCTAACATATGTTTAACTCCAAATATAAGTTTGTTCTGATTGATTAGCTGGTAAAAGAAGAAGTGTTAAGTAGGATGGGTTGGGTCTTTTTATTTTTAGCACAAGCCCACTCATTTCCATTGTGGTTTGAGTCTGTTTTCAGAACCACGGACAGCGACTGGTGGGCATGAAAACAGCTGGGATTTGAGTTTGCTCATGAGTATTGCTCGTGATGTAGAAAATGAGGGAAAGAGGACTGTGAAAAAGGAAATCTGGGACAAGTGTGCAAAGACATATCTACATAATAACTGTAACAAAAAAAAGCCCGCTGTGTCACTAAGAGAAGCAGCATCGCAGACAGATAGAGAGCATTATCCTGACAACGGAGCAGTTTGGAAAGCAAGTGTATCATGTGAGGCCAATCCAAGTGACCTCATCTACCCCCCTGCTGAAATGCCGCTGCATTACCAAAAACAACCGCTCTGATAATTCCCACAGGTTCAGCACGAGTATCAGGGGAATCGCGGAGGCAGGCGGTGGCAGGGATCGTTTTTTACGCCCCTCCGCTTTGTCAATAAATGATTTGCTCTCAAGGCTAATTTGGAAATTCTTAAATTGTGTGTGAGGTCTTTGAATGGGGTCTCTAATGAATGCATGGGTGATTGTATGAATGAAGGAGAGTCAGATCGGTGAATGGGTGGGCAGTGGGCGGAGAGAGAAAGAGGCGGGGGTGGGTCATCGGATGGATCACACACGTGTTTCCCCTTTTGAAATGCTGTGGCGATCCCTGGAGTGGAAAAGCAATCCCACTAATGTATAACCATCAACATTTAAGTACGAAAAGGTAACCCTGCGCTTTTGGTGGCGTTAGACCACGGAGAGCGCCCAGGACTGAAACTGTACTTTTACTTTGACTTCCCAGTAAAAGAGGTTTAGTCTTTGGATCTTATGTTAAAGTGACTACAGACATGCAATCTGGTGTGGCCTTCAGCCTGTATGAGCTGTCATGTGATTGGCCTGCTGGGACAGAGCACTAAACCTGTCAAGCCTTTCAGCACCATGGACAGTTCATGACGTGACCCTGCTGATGGTGAAGCGGGAGGATGAGGCCATCAAGTTAGGCGCATACCGTGATGAAATGGCCTCTCATGCATTTTCTTTATCATCTCAGTCATTTATAGTAAGGAAAATCCTGTCCACGTGTCCCCTACGTGACATTATACTTTATCCCTTTCTCAGCGTGGACAATGAAAGGCTTTCTGACCTCTAGCGAAGGGCGCACAGCTCCTGACAGGGAGGGAAAGGCGAATCTTATGAATGGCTTGATTGATGGATACAGAGATGGAGGCAGGGACTGGTTTGCTGTGGAGGGAGGAGGGGATACTTGTGGTCACCATAAATATCCTGAGCATATTGTGTAAAGCTCTCTTTTTATTGGTGGAGATGCATTCACTGAAAAAAAGTGGTTTTATTAGCTGTAGCTGAGCAGGGTTGGCAGAATAGTTAGGTAGAATGTGTTTTCAGCGTAATACCCACAGGTTGGGGTAGCTGGTGCCCCCACGTGTTGCCCTGGAGTCGATAAAGTATCCCAAGGCGATATAAGTGAACTGCAATGACTCGCATAATAGTGTAGACCATGTAAGGTTTTGGGTGTGCTCTCCTGCAGCGTGCAGCCAGTGTATATATGTCTGAGCCTGAGGACATTTAAAGCTGAAGTCTCGAAACTCCCAGCTCGCCTCGCCATGCTGAGGAATCCATTGAGAGAATTTCGCAGCGTTAGTCATCGCAACAACTATCCGCAGTGTGTGTAGTAGTCGCCTATAGCCTCTCTTGCACCTCTTGCACTGGAGATCCACAGTGGGCGCCGTGCAGGGCTTGGCTACAGGCTACAGGCGCACTCTGTGCTGTGTGTCTGTGCATTGCGTGCGTGATTTCTCTTGCACCCACCCGCAGAGCTTTTAACACACAGTCGACCGGCATGGTCACATGCCGGTTGGGTCGGTGGCGGTGTGCCGGTGGGTACCCGGGTCATTAGGGTGTTTGCGCAGGACGTGGCGAGCCGACGCCAGTGACCGGGCAGGTGATGTTTGCTCACGTAAGCCGCTCGCGTTTGATGAGGGGCGCAGGGGACGCGGCTGGAGGGTGCGCGCTACTGTTGCATCGCCTCACCGGATAACCGCTGCTATCTCATCCTGTCCGTCTGTTCCTCCCCGGTTTTCTGTTCTCTCTTTTTTTATTTTGCTCACCAACACACGGATTTGCAGGAGTGGGAGTCTTTTGACGATCGAAATAAGTGGATAAAGGACCAAACCGTGTGCGTGGAGTGCGTATCGTTTCTTGTGATTCCCTATACGCGCAAGCCGCTTTTTTCATTCCAGAGAGGCAATGCGCCCACCCATGCGATGCTAGCCTATTAGCTGGAGAGAGAGAGAGAGAGAGAGAGAGAGAGAGAGAGAGAGAGAGGTTTCAGCCCTGGATTCGAGAGGAGGCTAATTTACGAGTCTTGTTTTGCCTTTCAGGAAAAGGGGAGATAAGAGGGGGAGGGTGGTTGGTGAAGGAGAATGCAGCAATCACATTTTTAAGCATGCAGAAGCGGGCCGTTTCCGGTTCCTAGGCTGGTGTGTCCCCCCATCCGAGGCCAGCAGCCGTATGGGGAAAGCAGCGGCAGACACAGATGGCATGGACACTTCCACAAGGTCTGCCGCTCTGCCCTGCCTGCTCTGCCGGAGCCCGTTCGCCGCCGTCTCTCTCTTCCAGCTCGCTCCGCCGCCCAGCAGCACTGCAGCACAGCACAGGCTGACGGCATGAGGCTTGATCCAGTGCATTTCTCCATGCTGGTCATCGGGGTCTCCTTCGCCTGTTACGCCCCGAGTCTCAACTCCCTCCAGGACCAGGCGTACCGATCAGCCGTGGTCATCGAGGGCGAGGTGCGCTCCTCCCCGGAGAACGTCTCCTCCCGGGAGCCCTACAGTGTGAATGTCAAAGTGCTGGACGTGTGGCCCGTCAACAGCGGCGGCCTCGAGAGGGAGCAGCTCGTGACCGTCGGGGACTTTGGTTCCGAGGCCCCGTGCACCACGGTGGAGAAGGACCACAGATATATCTTTTTCATGGACCCCACCGCTGAGCCCTTGGTATTCAAGGCATCGTACGCCCCTGTGGACGCCAGCGAGCCGGAGCTGAAGAAGGATGTGGAAAGAGTGTTGTGCGAGGACTGCGGTAAGTTTAAGGCTTTTCCGTTATACCTGCCATACACTCACACCGCACTATAAGGGCCACTGAGGCTGCCATGGTGATGTAAGGAGACAGTCACCGCTCTCTGGCTGCGCGTGCATGTGTGTAGTCTATACAGTGTGTCAGCGTGCATACACATGTGCATGCGCGCGAGCCGATTGACACTTCAATCCTCCATAACCCGGTCACCCATAATGAATTGAGAAGGGTGGCAGGAAACGTGTGTGTGTGTGTGTGTGTGTGTGTGTGTGAGAGAGAGAGAGAGAGAGACATAGTTAAACCCGGGGTTAAGCCCCAAACAGCAGCTTCCTTGTGCTGATTAGACAAGCACTGATGATTAGTGGATACTGAAACTTCAGTGTTGCCTGGATTCCAGCAAGATCTGCATCATCACATCATTACAGTGAAGTAATCTGCATGTGGAGTCTTAAGGTGCAACCCAGCTCCTGGGTGTGTGTCAGAGATAAAGATATTTAGACATGTGATGGGGATCAGGCACGGCAACCTTGTCTTGAAGTAACCTCCTCTCCAAACTTTGTCTTGTTGCCTGCAGCCAGTATTGCACATCAAATCACTTGCTGTTTTATATCAGAAACTGTGGCAAAATCCTGACAGTGCCAGTGTTGACTGCAGTGACAGTCTGTGGGTGGTGGTAACTATTCAAATCTCTCAACTTGTTGCAAATTTCCTGCATGGACATTTGAAATTATGCTTTCATTTCTTGCAGTACACTGAACAGTAACTCCTGTATCTCTTCCTGGTTTTTATATGACTAATTTTCTGTGAGAAGTGGCTGAAACTATGTACAGCAGCTGGCCAGGCCTGCCAGAAACTCTGTTTAACTTATTGTCACATGCATGACTTTTATACATAAACAATCTTAAGATGACACAAGGAAAAAAAAGACCTGGGCCTGTAGTCTCAAGATGAGGGTTGTGCTCTCTTCCTCTTTTCTTTCTCACATTCTCCCTCTTCATTTCTCTCTGACAGCGAGAAACAAAGTCTTGAATTGACCCCTTTTCTTACAAAAGGCAAAAGAAAAGGTGCAGAATCAGGGTCAGATCCTCAGCTCAAATAACAAATAAACTAAGCTCTCAGAGAATGTGATCTATATATCATTTAATCTGCTAGTTGCAAAAGCTCCCAGGTCTCTTACTTTAAATATATTCCCTAAAAGGCATCTCTGACTTTTTGCAAATCATCACCACAATCTATTCCACCTGTGTCTTCAGTATTTAAAGAGCTTCACTGCTTCTGAGATGATGTAACTACAGTTTGTACCATCTACTACTGCGTTAAAGCATCTGCTAGTCCTGTGGCAAATGTGGTAAAAGTACACAGACAGGAAGTAATTTCCCCTGCTGCACAGAAGAGAGGGTAATACAATCTTAGCTGTGGAAGCGTCACACATTTCTCCATTACAAGCTGTGTGTGAATATGTGAACATGAGGACAAAACCTTTGAAACAATGTCATTATACAGAACCGTGTTTTCCATCTTTAAGTTCCTCAAACACAGATTCATCATAGTTTCCATGCAAACCAACCACCAGTGTCTGTAAAGTGTTAAATCCTAGCAGGAAGTAACTCAGATGTTTCAACAAAGGGTTCATCCAGCATTTGAGCTAACAACGTGATGTTCTATTTTTACCTCCGTGACATGCTAAAATTATCAAGTCATTTATTTATGACGGTGCTGTTGCAATCAGGCTTCCGTCTAAAACACATTTTCCAGGCAGGGATAAGCTCAAGAGAGGAGATACCCACTTATGAGTTGATTCACCCCGCACACGCACACACACAGGCACACACACACACACACACACACACACACACACACACCAAAAGCCAGAGATACAGGGAGAAACACAACCTTATTAGACACTGCAGAGTGTGTGGTGACACTATAGATGCACTGTGGCAACCAGCAGCCTCTGAATGTCCACAGCACACATAAGCACACAAATGTTTGTTACCACTGTCAGCTCTTTTTCTTTCCCAGGATGGATTGGATTCATCTGCCAAAACTAATCACATCAGTACAAAATCCACACCCACAAATAGTCACTAGGTTAAAGGAACACTTCAAACATAAATGTATCACTTTTCAACATTATTTGTGCTGAGTATGCTTCATGAAAATGTTTGTACTCTATTTCTTAAGACAGTTCTGCTCTGGTTGAACGGGGTCCCAGTTTAACAACAGGAAACTAGTATTCAAACATTATAACTCTCTTTGCAGCACAAATACAGCTTCATGTGTCTTCCTGTATACTCAGTACATCTCAAACACATAAACTTTAGGTAAATTATTACAAAATAACCCCTCTCTGCAAAATGGCAACAACTGCTTATTGGCCAGGACTCAGCCTCAGTTGTAGCTCACTCACTGGCTCTGCTGACAATTTTCATTGGGTGGATGCAGTAATGTCAGGGTAGCCGCTGCATGAGCTACGACCAAGCATGGCTCCTGGCCAGTGATCAGACTGGAGAGGATATTGTAGAAGCATTTAATTTGAGACAGAAGGAACTGCAGCTTAAAGAAGGGTCGGGGTAAGAGGCGTGTCAGCAGACACACACCCTGAGCATAACCAATCCCAAACCCTGTCTTAAACACAGCCAGCCAATCACAGACAAACAGTTGTAACGCCCACTTCTGTCTAACCCCTATCAAATTCTATCAACACACATATATTATGGTGGACATTTGTTTACACTTACTGATATGTGTTTTTTCAGTATTATGTCTGGGTTGTACTGAGCATGTTCATAGCACTGCCTAGCTGATTTATTACAGACAATTTCCTACAATGCTGTCTTAAAATTGTTTTCTGTAATTCAGGAAGCTGTTATTTTAATGTTTAAATGGTGTGTCCACTTATACCCTCTCACCCACTTTGATAAGTCAGCAAAAGAGTGTTTGGTGAAAAATCCTGGGAAAATGAATAGGGAGAGTAAAGATGATGCAGCTCTATGTTTCTGAAATGATCACTGCAGCTGTTGTGTACTGGGTAGCACAATTATTTAGAAAGGAAAACCCTCAGCAAACTTTATCCTGTCATGACAGTACACACTCTACTCTGGCATATATACCTTTAAAAAACTTAAAGGGGACCTATTCTGTTAATTTCAGGTTCATACTTGTAGAGTGTGCTTACATGCTTTAATGTCTTTATTTTCCTCATACGGTCTGCACTGGAACACCTGTATGCACTCTTTTCTGAATGGCTTTGTTTTAGTGCCCGTCCTTCTGAAAAAGCCCACACAGCTCTGATTGGTCAGCATTTCCAGGTCTTCCACATCTCGCCGTCTCTGCACCATCATGGCAGCTGGGGAATGACTGTAACGCAGTAAAGCAGCACTTTCCACTGTGAAAAATCACCGATAAAAGCTTTAAAACACAAGCTGTAGCAGGAATACGTAATGAGGGAAAAGTTTAATAACATCAGCAAACAAGATTACATGTTTCCCTGCCATTAGCATGTAGCTACATGTAGCAGTGTTGGTTACGAGCAGTAGCGTGCCTGGAGCAGATGACCATATAGAAATCCATCATGTGCTGAAGTCAGCTTGTCTTGAAAGTAGGAAAAACCGTTGGAATTCAGATCATCTGAAGCCTGAAGTTTTAACTTTACATACGCTTACATTATTATTTCAAACTTTGGGCACATTTAATATAAACATTCAACATTGTAACATTATATTTATGATGGGAAAATACGGAAAAAAATAATAATTCCCCTTTAAATACAAGCAAGCGTTTACTACGACAACACCAGAGTGCCAAACATAAAGAAGAAAATACATTACAGTAACCTACAATACAGCATCACTATCACCTCACTGCAGAGATGCAAACAATCATACAAAACAGAAAAGAAGTATAAAAACAGCAGAATAGTAGCCATTAGAGCTACATCACTAAGCTTACTGCTATGTTCCTGGACTAGCAGCACCTATCAGACTGAGTTGCTGGAGACCTATAGGTAATATTTCTGCGCTACATGAATATGTAGACGCCACATAATGTTAGCTTTGTTAACTCTAACACAGACTATGATATAGCTAATATCTGTTATAAGGTTACTGTCTTGAGGTTTAATTTAGACTTTCTGCCAACAAATGTTGATACTTCCAGCAAGCTATGGTTATGCAAAGATAGACACACAGACCCCTTGCTGTGAGAGAGATTTTAAGACACTACATCTTTTGCACTATCAAAGACAGCAGAGCCATCCTCCAAAAACAGAGCCAATGTTGATTAAGTGGTGAGAGCAGTCAGGTTTCTCTCTTATTGTTTATGTTATTGAGTATACCACAGCTAATCCAATAACCTCTCCCCTTTCACCCGACCAACACCTCTGACCGAAACATAGAATCCGGCTTGATGAGGCAAAATTGCAGCTCAGACTCTGGCTGACGCTTCAAGGTTATAAGAGTTAAGTAAATGATAGGGATTCTTTGTTCTGCCCTCAGCGACTGAAACCACATGTATGTCTGCGCTGAGCTCAGCTGGCCTTCACTACCTTTCTCTCACTACTCTCTCCCTGTTTTACTCAGTGAAAAATAACTTAAGTGTGTGGATGGCTCACGCTCCCCTCTTAAAAAGTACAAAACCAATCCTATCTTACATCCCGGGCAGTCTTCAGCGTAATGTAGGTCTTCTCTGATCATTGCTGTTGGCATGCCTTTTGAGATACATTGACAGTTTCTTCCTAAAATAGCTTTATCTGATGCCCAAACATGCTCCTGTCACTGATGCTGATGCTAGTGCTGCATACCTCAACTCTCATGCTCTCATTCTGCCCCCCCCCCCCCTTCTGCCTCCCTCCTCATGCTGTAGCTGACTGTAGCTGAAGTGTGTGGTTCAGCTTATGCCTGCCCTCCTGTCAGTCAGCCACACAGAGGAGGAGAGAAACAGAGAGAAAGAGAGCAGGGGGGAGGGAGAGAGAGGGAGAGATATTTAGCTTTGAGATCACAAATAGA